AGGGAAAACCAGCCACGTCGCGACACCGAGTCTTGCTCCCGACAAGCAAAACCCCTTCTTGCCCGCTTGAGGAAAAATCGGTCACCACGCGACCCGCCCCCAAGGGATTGGACTTCGTTCTCCGTGGCTGACGGTTTAAAGACTTTTAAAGGGTTTTAAAACCCCCGAAAGGCTGCGGCCCAGACGGCATCCCTAGCCTGTCCTCAGAGATGCGCAGACCAGCGGCTGGTTGTTCATGGACATTTCAATCCTCCCTTTCCCGTCTGTGTTCCCACAGCTTCAAAGGCCACCATTGTTCCTTACCCAAGAAAGCAAAGGAAAGAACAAAGACTTCGCCCCGTAGCCTCACCTCTGTATATGAAGTGCTTTGAGGGGGCTAGTTAAGGAATACACCTCCCCTTTACCTGACACCCTGCCCATTTAAATTTTGCTACCACCCAAATAACCCAGACGTGCAATTGCATCACATGACACCCCCTACCCCATCTGGACAAGGGGGTTTTAACATGAAGAATGGTTTTTGACTATGCTCGCATTAAACACCATATACCCTCCAAGCCACATAAGCTCGAGGTCCGGGGTTTGTCCCCCCTGGTAAAACGGGCCCTGGACTTCTGCGGGCCCCCCCCCATGGTGAAGGTAGGAAACCCCCTCCCAATTCGCTGATCTCAAAGGGGGCCCAAAAGGGGTGTGTGTCACCCCCCTCCTCTACCCCCTGTTCCCCAAGACTGCGTGGCCAAGCACGCCCCCAATCAATCATAAGTTCAGACACAAACAGTAGGGGCGATTCCAACAATGACAGACCCCCTAAGGGAGGGGGTGAGGGCCGGGAGTGTGGGCCAGGAAAAAAACCTTCTTAAAACATCAAAAAAAACAAAGGAGATGATGGGGGGCTTCAGGAAAAAACGGGGGGGGGGGGGGTTTTTTTCCCCTGGGGGGTGGGGGGTGGGGGAAAAGGGGGAAGGGCCCAAAAATAACAAAAAAAAAAAAAAAAAAAAAAAAAAAAAAAAAAAAAAAAAAAAGGCCCCCAAAATTCCCAAACCTTTTAGGACAAAAAAATTGGTTTTATAAAAATCACAATTTTTTTCGTGCAATGGACATCCGTGGGGTAACGTTAAAACCCACCCCAAACCGCGGGTTTCCCCGGGGGTTGGTTTTTGGCCCCCCCATTGGGGGCAAGTGTCAAGCCAAAACCCCTTTTGTGGGGGAAAAGAAAAAGGCAAAAACCAAAGCCCTGTGTTAAGTATACCAAAAAGGGGTGGGGTTAAATTTAAAATGAAAAAAGTTACCCAAAAGGCCTCAAGTTTCCCCAAAAGCCTTTAGGCTCCTGAAAGAAATACGGCCCCTAAAAGGCATAGCATTTTTAAATTTTTCCTATTTTAACCACATGTAAATTTTTTACTAATATTTACTATTTGTCCCCCCCTTTCTTTGTTGCCTTTGTATTATTCTTAAACCCATTTACCTTTTTTTTGTATTTATTTTGGTTGAAAATTTATTTAGCCTGTGGATAAATAGATTTCGCCCCTGTTAATCTGTAAACCTGTGTGCAAAATAAAATTTGATTAGGGGAAAAGGGGGTTAGATTTTTTTTCCCGGTTTTCCCCCGGGCTCAAAAAAAGGGGAAAAAATATTTAAAAAAAAGGGCCTGTTGGGTGACCCCTTTTTCTTTCCCCAAAAAACCTTTGTTTGTTTAGGCAGCCGGTTTTGGGGGGAAATCCTACTTTACCCCCTTGTTTAAGGGTTATACCCAAATTTTTTGGGTGGTTTTTAACTAAACTTATTTGCCCTTTTCCCCAAAAAGGTTTAACCGTTACCCCCCAAGACGACCCTGAAAGCTTAGGGGCCCCGGTTATTGTTTTCTTTATTTTACCCCCCCCTGAAATATCCCCTTAATTATTGTTTGCCCCCCAAATTGATTTGTACGGTACCCCTGTTATGCTGTATACCCGATATGATCTGTCCCGGCCCCCCTGTATATAGTGTAATTTTGCCCTCTGAAACGGAAAACCCCTTTAAGCCTGTTATTGACTTTTTTCCCGGTACCCCCGTATTTTAGCTGTAATGCTTGTAATTGACTCTGTAGGGGCCCCCCCCTGTTTATTAGTGAAAAAGCCTTTATATTGACTCGGAGGTCCCCCCCCTTTGTATATCCCTGTATTAAAGGCCTTTATGACTCTGTACCGGTCCCCCTTTTTGTAATCGGTGTATATGACCTGTTGGTCCCCCCCTGAAATTAGCCGTTTTGCTCTGACGGGTCCCCCCTGTATATAGTTTAATAGCCTGATATTGACTGTATGTACCCGTATTAGCTTTTAAACCCCTGTATATTGACTTGTCCCCGGACCCCCTTTTTAAAGGATACCCTGTATTGGGTTCTGTCCCCCGAAAACCCTGTTGGAAGTTTTACCCCCCCTGTAAAGCCTGTTTTTGACCTTCCCGGTCCCCCCTTAAAGCCTGTATTTTCCCTTTTGTACCGGACCCCCCCTGTATATAGCGGTATTAGCCGTATTTGACCTGTCCGGCCCCCCGTTTTATTTAAAGCCTGTTTTTGACTTGTAGGTCCCCCCTTTAATAGCTGTATATAGCTTATATTGACTTGCCCGGACCCCCTTATAAGCGTAATAGCCTGTATATTGATTTTGTATGGTCCCCTTTTTTTATAGCCAATTGATCTGTACTGGTACCCCCTGTTATAGGTAATACCCGTATATTGATCTGTAGGGGCCCCTGATAAAAGCGATATACCCTTTTATATTGATCTTCCCGGTACCCCCCGTTTTATAGCCTGTTATTGACCTTACGGTACCCCTTTGTAATTTATAGCCTGTATATTGACTTGTACTGGTACCCCCGTATTAGCTTATTTGACTTGTACCGGTCCCCCCTGTTATGCTTTTAATGCGGGAAATTGGACTCGTACTGGTCCCCCCCTGTATATAGCCATATTTTTTAGGCCCTGATATGAAAACCTTTTTGTTACGGTACCCCCTGTTAAGCTGTATAACCCGTTTAATTGCTCTTACGGTACCCCCTGTTTATGTAAAGCTTATTGACCTGTAGGGTCCCCCCTGTATAAGTTGTATATCCCGTATATGACTTGTACCGGTCCCCCCTGTATATAGTGAAATTTGGGGGGACCTGAACGGGTCCCCTGTTATAGCCGTATATAGCCTTTTTTTGACTTTAGGGGTCCCCCCTTTATATACCCTGTATATTGACTCGTACGGCCCCCCCTGTATTAGCTGAAAAACCCTGTATATTGACCGTACCTCCCCCCCATATAGCTGTATATACCCGATATTGATTTTACTGGCCCCCCCTTTAATAGATTTAGCCTGTATATTGACCTGTACGGTACCCCTTTTGTATTACCCGGTATTGACTCTGTCCCGGTACCCGTATTAAGCGATTTTTGACTTGCCCGGTCCCCCCTGTATAAGCTGTTATATTTTGACTGTCCCGGGCCCCCCCCTTATTACCCTGTATATTAAATCTTACGGTACCCCCTGTAAAAGCCGAATAGCCTGTATATTGACTCTGTACTGGTACCCCTGATATACCCCTGTTATGCCTGTTTTTTGACCTGTACCGGCCCCCCTTTTTAAAAGCAAAGGTTTATGACTCTGTCCCGGTCCCCCCGTAAAGCCGTATATGCCTGAAAACCAAAACCCCCCGGAAATTTAGCTGTATATAGCCTGATTTTGACTTTTCCGGTCCCCCTTGATATGGAAATTTTTGACTCTGTCCCGGACCCCCTGTTATAGCTGTATTACCCTTTTATTGACTCTGTACGGTACCCCCCTTTTAAGCCTGTTTGCCTGTACCGGACCCCTGTAATACCTGTTTATTGTCCGGTACCCCCGTATTACCCGTTAGCCTGTTTTTGCCTGTACTGGTACCCCCTTATATGCATGGATATTGTCTGTCCCGGTACCCCCTGTATTTTTTGGGCCCTGATATAGCCGTATTGACTTGTACCTCCCCCCCGTATTAGCTGTATAAGCCTGATATGACTCTGTATGGTACCCCCGAAAAGCCTTTTAAGGATTTGAAAAGGTCCCCCCGTATATAGCTGTATTAGCCTGATTGACTCTGTCCCGGTCCCCCCTTTTATATAGCTGTAACCTGATATTGATCTGTACGGTACCCCTTTTGGAAGCCTTTTAATTGACTCTGTCCGTCCCCCCTGTATATAGCGAATTAGCCTGTATATTGACTCAAATGGTACCCCTGTTATACCCGATTTTGGGCCTGTACGGTCCCCCCTGTATTAGCTGTTTATACCCTGTATTTTACTCTGTACCGTACCCATGTTATAAGCTTATATTACTCTGAGGACCCCTGATATACCCTTAAATTTTTGACTCTGTAAGGTCCCCCTGTTAAGCGTAATAGCGTTATTGATTGTACGGTCCCCCTGTTAAGCTGATTCCCTTAATTTTGATTTTGTAGGTACCCCCTGTATATAGCTGTATATACCCCTGTATTTTGATCTGACCCCCCCCCCGATATAGCTGTATATATTGTATTTTGATCGTACGGTCCCCCCTGATAAGCTTTATTTTTAGGCCCCTGAATTGAATTCTTTGGACCGGACCCCTTTTTTCCCTTATAGTTTGTATATTAAAGCCTGTATTTTGGGACTCGTACCGGCCCCCCGGAATAGGTATATACCCTGAAATTTGATCTGACCGGTACCCCCTGTATATACCCAGGTATATTGACTTTACTTTACCCCTGTAATAGCTGTATATGCCTGATTTGACCTGTACGGATTTTTAACCCCCCCTGTAATAGCCTGTATATTGACTCTGACCGGTACCCCTGTATATAGTGTATATAGCCTGTATATTGACTTGTCCCGGGACCCCCTGTTATAGCTGTATATACCTGTTTTTGACTCTGTACGGCCCCCCCGGTTAATATCTGTATATGCCTGTTATTGACTCTGTCCCGGTCCCCCCGTATTGCCGTATTTTGACTCTGTTTTGGGTACCCCTGTATATAGCTTATTGCCTGTATTTTACTCTGTACCGGTACCCCTTGTATATAGCCTGTATTTTGACTCTGTCCGGACCCCGTATATAGCTGTATTCCCCTGTTTTTGATCTGCCCGGTCCCCCGATATAGTGATATAGCTGTAATGCTCTGTCCCGGTTTTCCCCCCGTTTAGCTGATATAGCCTGTATTTGATCTTGGTACCCCCTGTTATAGCCGTATTTTGACTTTTCTTGTTTTGTTAACGGCCCCCCCTGTATATCCCTGATTGATCTGTACCGGTCCCCCCTTGATATAGTGATAGCTTATTTTGACCTGTCCCGGGCCCCCCGTATATAGCAAACCTGTTATTTGACTCTTTTACCGGTACCCCCTGTAATAGCGTAAAAGCCTGATAGACTCGTAGGTCCCCCTGTTACCTGTTATTGACCTGAAACGGTACCCCTGATTAATTACCCTGTTATTGACTTGACCGGTCCCCCCTTATATGCTGTTTTAAGCCTGATTGACTCGTACCGGTACCCCCTGTATATAGCCTGTATTTGATCTGTACCGGTCCCCCTGTTATAGCTTTTTATATAGCTGATAGATCGTCCGGTCCCCCCTGTTATACCCCGTAATTGACTCGTATGGTCCCCCTGTATTAGCGGTATAGCCTGATTTTGATTGTCCCGGCCCCCTGTTATAGCTTATTAGCCTGTTTAGGATCTGTCCCGGTCCCCCCTTTGTATATAGCCGTTATTTTTTAGGGCCCCTGTATATATTTTTCCCTGAAAAACCTTGGGCCCCCTGTATATAGCCTGTTTTGACCTGTAGGGACCCCCTTTTGGTATATGCCTGTTATTGATCTGGGGACCCCTGTTTGGAAATTACCCTGTATTTTGACTCTGTACGGTCCCCCGTTATACCCGATATACCCTGTATAGACTCTGTACGGTACCCCCTGTATAAGCTGTAAAGGCCCCTGTTATATTTTTGATCTGTAGGCCCCCCTGTATAAGCTGTTTAGCCGTTTTGACTCTTTTTACGGTCCCCCTGAAATTACCCTGTATATGCCTGTATATTGACTTGTCCCGGTCCCCCTTTGTTTATAGCTGTAATTGACTCTGTCCCGGTCCCCCCCTGAAATTACCCTGATATGCCTGTATTTTGACTTTAGGGTACCCCCCTGTATATCCCCCGGATATTGCTCTGCCCCGGTACCCCTTGAATTCCCTGAAATTTTGACTCGTACCGGACCCCTTATTAGTATATACCCTTATTTGACTCTTACTGGTACCCCCTGATATAGCTGTATTTTGGATTTAGGCCCCTGTTATACCCTTTGTAAGACTTGTAGGTTTAAAAAGGGATATCCCGATAGATTGTCTGCCCCGTAACAAATGTAATCCTTTTTGATTGTCCCGGTTTTCCCCCAAACCTGTATTAGCCCGGTATTATAGCCTGTTATTGATCGTAGGCCCCCCCTGTTACCTAATCTGTATATTGATTTTATGGTAAATATGGTTTATATTGACTGGGCGGTCCCCCCTGTATTAGCTTTTTTACCCTTAATTGACTCTGTACCGGACCCCCTGTTATAGCTGTATATAGCCTGTATTTGACCTGTACTGGTACCCCTGTATATGGTATATTGACTCGGTAGGGGCCCCCCCCTGATAAGCTGTATAACCCTGTATATTAAATTTGTACGGCCCCCCCTGAATACCTGATATTGGCTCTGTATGGTCCCCCTGTAAAAGCGTATTACCTGTATTTTGATCTGACCAGTACCCCCGTATAAGTGTATATACCCTTATATGATCGTACTGGTACCCCCTTTGAAAACCCTTAATACCCGAATTTTTGATCTGAGGGTACCCTGTTAAGTGTAATGCCTTTAATTGATTGTACTGGCCCCCCCTGATAAGCGTATATAGCCTGTTATTGATCGTACCGGTACCCCGTATATATGTATTGCTGATATTGATTTTGTAAGGTACCCCCTGTTATAGCGTTATAGTCGTATTTTGACTCTGTATGGCCCCCCGTATTAGCCTGTATATTGTTTGGGCCCGGTACCCCCTTTTATGGGAAAGCCGAATTGACTTTACCGGTACCCTGATATAGCCGATTTGACTCTGTACGGTCCCCCCGTATATGCCTGTATATTGACTCTGTCCCGGTACCCCCTTTTTGCGTTTTTGAATCTGTCCCGGCCCCCCCTGATATAGCTTTTAAATAGCCTGTATTTGCTCTGTACCGGCCCCCCTGTTTTATAGTTTTATAACCCTGTATATTGCTCTTTATGGTCCCCCCGGATTTAGGTATATACCCTGTATATGACTCTGTACCGGTACCCCCCGATAACCCTGTATAACCCTGTTATGACTCTGTCCCGGCCCCCTTTTATATAGCGTATAACCCGTATTTTGATCTGTACCGGTCCCCCCGTATTATGGTATAAGCGTATATTGATTTGTCCGGCACCCCCTGTATATAGCTGAATACCCTGTATATGACTTCCGGTCCCCCCTTTTATAGCCGTATATTGACTCTTACGGGTACCCCCTGTAATAGGTATTACCCTGTATAGACTCTGACGGTTTTCCCCCCCCTGAATCCCTGATATTGCTCGACCGGTCCCCCCGTATAAGTGATATAGCCTGTATTGACTCTGTACCGGTCCCCTGTATATGCTGTATTACCTGTTATTGATTTTGTACCGGTCCCCCTGTATATAGCTGTTATAGCCGTATATTACTCGGTACCGGCCCCCCTTTTAATAGTGAAAACCCTTATATTGACTTTTTTCCGGACCCCTGATATAGCGTTAGCTTGACCGGTCCCCCCTGTATATAGCGTATTAGCCGTTTTGGATCTTCCCGGCCCCCTGTAAAACCCTGTATTTGACTGTTTTGGTCCCCCCTGTTATAGCCGATTTTGACTCTGCCCCGGGGTACCCCGTAAACCCTGTTATTGACCTGCCCCGGTACCCGTATATGCCATATTTTGACTCGTACCGGTCCCCCCCGTATAAAAAGGTATATACCCTTTATTTGACTCTGCCGGGGGTCCCCCCTGTATATGCCTGATTTTGACTCTGACGGCCCCCCTTTTGTATTAGCGATATGTTTAATTGCTCTGTCCGGGGTCCCCTGTTTTAAGCCGGTTTTTGGCCCTTTTTGTATGGACCCCCTTTTTATACCCTGTTTTTGACTCTGTCCCGTCCCCCTGTAATAGCCTGTATTTTGACTCGTCCCGGTCCCCCCTGTATATGCCTGTATTTTGACTCGATGGTCCCCCCTGTATTAGCCTGTTATTGACTCTGTCCGGACCCTGTATAAGCCTGTATTTTTGGGATCTGCCCCGGCCCCCTTGTATATAGCGATATTGATCGTAGGTACCCCCTGAATAGCCGTATTTTGACCGCCCCGGTACCCTTATATAGCCGTTAATTGTCTGTCCCGGGTTTTACCCCTGTTAAGTATATATGACTCTGTCCGGACCCCCTGATATGCTGTATATAGCCTGTATTTTGCCGTATGGTACCCCGTTATAGCGTATTAGCCCCCCTAGTTTTTTATGTGCTTTTTAATTATTTGTTTTTTTGATATTTATTTTTTTTATTTTTTTTCATAAAATTTTTTTTTAACACTTTTTTCAAAAAACCTGCATTTTTGGTAAGGGTTTTGTAAGCATTTCACGTAAGGTTTACACCTGTTGATTGGGTTCATGGACAATAACTTTTTTCGATTTAACGTAGTTCATAATGACAAATCCCTTTTATGCAGTATTTTTATTATTTATAAACATTTTTTTGGGCCCCACTCAAAAGAAAAGTAAAAAACAGAAGAAAACCTTCCCAGATTTTAAGTGAAAAAACAATAAAAACGGGGGAAAAAAAAAATGGGCCCACCCACCAACCCCGCCCCACCCAAACCCCCCCCATCCACCAACCCCGCCCACCCCAACCCCCCCCACCAAAAACCCGCCATCCACCAACCCCCCCCATCCAAAAACCCCCCCATCCAAAAACCCCGCCAATACAAACCCCGCCCCCCCAAACCCCCCCCACACAACCCCCCCACCCCAAACCCCGCCCATCCACCAACCCCGCCCATCCACCAACCCGCCCCATCCACCAACCCCGCCCATCCACCAACCCCGCCCATCCACCAACCCCGCCCATCCCAACCACCAACCCCCGCCCCATCCACCAACCCACGCCCATCCCACCAACCCCGCCCATCCACCAACCCCCGCCCATCCACCAACCCCAACCCATCCACCAACCCCACCCATCCAACATGTCATCCAGATCACAAGGCGTTATTGTGAAATACTGAAGGACATTTTGATTCTCAGTTACATAGTTTAAAAAAAACATTTTTCACCAAATATAAATGTTGTGAGCAATAATAGGTTTAAGGGATATATTTGTATTTATATTTATTATGGATCCCCATTAGCTGCTGCCAACTCTTCCTGGGTCCAGCAAAATTAAGGCAGTTATACATTTTAAAACATTACAATGCATTCATAACAGATTTCACAACATACTAAGTGTGTGCCCTCAGGCCTCTACTCTACTACCACATATCTACAACACAGAATCCATGTGTACGTGTATGTGTATAGTGCATATGTTATCATGTGTTTGATTGCATGTGTCTATGTTTGTGTTGCTTCACAGTCCCCGCTGTTCCATAAGGTGTATTTTTATCTGTTTTTTAAATCTAATTTTACTGCTTGCATCAGTTACCTGATGTGGAATAGAGTTCCATGTAGTCATGGCTCTATGTAGTACTGTGCGCCTCCCATAGTCTGTTCTGGACTTGGGGACTGTGAAGAGACCTCTGGTGGCATATCAGTGAAGACCATCTCTTCCAGGGCAATAGGAGACACCATATTTCGCTCTATACTCATCCAGGGGGCGAGTTAGGATGGGCGAGATGCTAGTGCCTGGAAATATGGATAGTCCTCCTACTTCTTTCCCGTTTGTTTTATCCGAGCTCGCTTACCTTGCCATATACATTTTGAAACTGTACTATTGACTTTATCCGAACAGCCAGAAGGCGGAGACAAGGGAATAATAATAATAATAATAATAATATGCCATTTAGCAGACGCTTTTATCCAAAGCGACTTACAGTCATGTGCGCATACATTTTTACGTATGGGTGGTCCCTGGGATCGAACCCACTACCCTGGCGTTACAAGCGCCATGCTCTACCAATTGAGCTACAGAGGACCACGGGGAAGCATTGAACTACAGAAATTCAGCCGTGGCAATATATTCATTTAGACAATAGATATTCTGCCGGTTAAAGCATCTGGGATGTTATTCCATCTACTGGGGTCAGATTTAATTGATTTCAGCGTTCTGTTAAAAGTTTCTAAGGAAGGAAATATATTTATTCCCCAATATTTAAAATGGGAAACGACTGGGATTCCATAAGTAGAGATGGAGTCATCTTGAGAGGCTGATTTTGGTTAGATGTATTTTCTAACTTGAGATGGAACTGAATTTGTCTATGATCTTTAAAGCTTTTGGGAGAGATTGAGATACCTTGCCTGCTACTTCTAGCTATTCTGAACGGAACAGAGCAGGTATTGCCTGTCATTACTATGGCTGAGGGATTAGCATATATACTGAACAAAACTATAAATGCAACATGTAAAGTATTGGTCCCATGTTTCATGAGTTGAAATAAAAGATCCCAGAAATGTTCCATACACACAAAAAGCTTATTTCTCTCAAATGTTGTGCACAAATTTGTTTACATCCCTGTTAGTGAGCATTTCTCCTTTGCCAAGATAATCCATCTACCTGACAGGTGTGGCATATCAAGAAGCTGATTAAACAGCATGTCCATTACATAGGTGCACCTTGTGCTGGGGACAATAAAAGGCCACTCTAAAATGTTCAGTTTTGTCACACAACACAATGCCACAGATGTCTCAAGTTTTGAGGGAGCGTGCAATTGGCATGTTAATTTCTCTACCATATGCCGCCTCAAAATGTTGTTTTAGAGAATTTGTCAGTATGTCCAACTGGCCTCACAACCTCCAACCACCTCCAGGCCAGGCCAGGACCTCCACATAATGAAGCCTTTTTGTGGGGAGAAACTAATTCTGATTGGCTGGGCCTGGCTCCCTAGTGGGTGGGCCCATGGCTGCGCCCCTGCCAAGTCACGTGAAATCCATAGATTAGGGCCTAATTTATTTATTTCAATCGACTGATTTCCTTATATGAACTGTAACTCTGTAAAATCTTTGAAATTGTTGCGTTTATAGTTTTGTTCAGTATAATTGACGACAGAGGTTATATGAGGATAATCATTTTTTAATAAACCCGCTTTGGTCCAGATGTACCAATTTGGGTAAGTAAGTTTCGAAACGGGACAGAATTTTAGAAAATAGTTTAATATCTGTGTTTATCAAAGATAGGGGGCAATAGTGAGAACACTGGGTGGCGTCCTTAGTGCTGTATTTACATCCCTTCCAAATGAACCTTTGTGAACGGCTGTTTTCATAATTTCAACTAACAGTGGACCTAATTGGTTCCAACATTTTAAATAGACCTCAGGAGGAATACCTTCAAAACCAGGTGATTTGCCTTTTTTCATGTTATCCGATGCCCTTTTGAGTTCACAGAGAGAGATCTGGGCTCCCAGCGAGCCGGCTTCCTCTGTTGAGAGAAGAAGAGTTCTTCTCTTTTAAAAAGGACTCGATCTGGTACAATCATACAGCGAAAGCCATTCTGGAGCGGCCCTGTGCAGTGCTCAATGTTAACCAGCGGCATGGGACCCAGCATCTCCTGGCCAAACAGTTCATAGAAAAGATTGTCATGAAGGAAGCTGGGTTGCCCACTTCCTCACCAGTTTCAAGTCCTGTGACCCGCACATAGAATTTACTGGAATGATTTGAGTGATTCTGTTTTCTCTTTTATGAGATTGATTATCCCTTCCAACAGCTCACTGTTTCCAGGTCATGGAGTCACACCTCTGTCCCATTGGCTGTCTTCTACAGACTTCCCATTTTGGTTGAATAGGTATCCACTTTAGCAGTGAACACTGCCAATGATACATTTACAGGTATTAATTGTAAGTCGAAGGCAGAGGTAATCTCCTAAAAAATAATCTCTGGTATAGTAACGTCCAGCTCTTTCTGTTGGTGTTGAGAGCCGCCATGTTAATAATAATAATAATAATAATAATAATAATAATGTTCCCACTGTTGAATTGTGGACAGCTGCTGGAGCGGAATAGACTTGCTAATTATATATTGTCCCACATCTTAATTTACATTTTAGTCATTTAGCAGACGCTCTTATCCAGAGCGACTTACAGTTAGTGAGTGCATACATTTTTCATACTGGCCCCCCGTGGGTAACAAACCCACAACCCTGCCGTTGCAAACGCCATGCTCTACCAACTGGCCCCCCGTGGGAAACGAACCCACAACCCTGGCGTTGCAAACGCCATGCTCTACCAACTGGCCCCCCGTGGGAAACGAACCCACAACCCTGGCGTTGCAAATGCCATGCTCTACCCAACTGAGCTACACGGGGCCAACATTTTTCTAGTTTTTTTTAAATTTATGGCTAGCCAGGGGCTTTATGGCTCCATCACTCAGACATTATTTATAAACGAAGCATTTGTGTTTAGTGAGTATGCCAGATAAGAGGCAGTAGGGTTGACCAATGGATGTTCTCATGATGTGTGTGAAATGGACTATTGTCCTGTCCTGTTAAGCATTCGAAATGGGTGTCAGGGGAAATGTATGGAGTAAAAAGTACATTATTTTCTTTAGGAATGTAAAAGTAAATGTAGTCAAAAATATAAATAGTAAAGTACAGATACCCCAAAAAACTACTTAAGTAGTACTTTAAAGTACTTTGTTTCATGGTGCTTTAAGACAGACCTATGGCACCTATAGCTCTCAGCTAGCGCCCATATTTATTTTCTGTTACTAATCTATATCACTGTCTTGTAGATGTATTTAGCATCTAGAAAGTTCTTTATTACTTTAATAGATTCTGAGATTCTGTTGTGACTAATGTTAGTGTGTATGGTGTACAAAGGCTGTGAGGTGTAACATGCATCAACTGGTCATTGTAGAGTAATTGTACTTAAGTAGTACTTTAAAGGATTTTTACTCAAGTACTTTAAAGAGGGTTTCCACCCAATTGCCAATGTTATTCTTAAAGGTTATTGTTCTAATACATAAGCCAGGTCATGAAGGTCACTGTAAAACTGCTGCATTCAAAATTGTAGTAATTTTTTTATTTTATTTTTAACATAACATTGAGTGAATATAAATATAAAATAGATTTTTAAAAAAGTTTGAAGGAAATTAGCTTTAAAACTGAAAAATGTATCTCATCTCCATGGAGAAATGTGTAGAATTGCAGGAAATTGGCTTAAAAATGCTAAAGTTTCTCTCCAACGCCAAGATGGGGGCCTCTAAAATGTTATCTCAAACTCAGACCACGCCCCCTGGCCACCTAAGACCCTTTTTGATCTAGAAAAAACCCTGGAGAGAAAAAACAACATTGTTTTATTAGATGAATGAATGTGGTGGATGTTTGTATGTAATGAAGCGCTCTATTGTTTCCAGATTCTCCTGAGAACCAAGAAAATCGCCAGGGAGGTTCTGGAGAAGAGAAGCTACAGTATATCTGTTCCCCCCCTCTGGACAGAACCTTCTAGAACCTGAACAGAACAACGGAACCCTGTGATTGGAGGAGACACGCAGGACCAGCCTCTCATAGTGTCCTAATCACTACTTTTGACCAGAGCTCTGCATGTTATGGGCCAGGGCCATATGTAGCAGCCCTATGTGGCTCTGGTCAAAAGTAGTGCACTATAAAGGGAACAGGGTGCCATTTGGGACTGGAATGGGTGTCCTGTTGTGGGCCGCCAGTCATGCTACTAACGTTCCATCCATTGCCTCTACTCCAGTGTTGTGTAAACGCAACTCAACACTTGATAAGATTTAATACTGTATATACCATTTATAATAACACACACAAGTGACTACAATGACCTTCTCTGAGTCCCAAATGGCACCCTATTTCCTATAATAGTTCAAAAGTAGTGCACTACATAGGGAATAGGGTGCCATTTGGGTACTGATGATGAAGAGGTTGGAACATACTGGCCATTTATTCTATTAAAGTGTGGATTTTTCACATTTGTCATCCGTAGTGGAGTAGTGTGGTTTCAGTCTGAGGTTACATCTCAAATGGCACCCTATTCCCTATACAGTACACTACTTTTGGCCAGAGCCATGTATGGGGAATCGGATGCCATTTGGGACTCAAGCATGGGGTTTTCCTCAGTTGACGTGCAGGGTGACATCCCTATAGGTCTGAGTCTCTACAATTCTCCGGGCTGGCTGTGATTGGCTGGTTCCAGCGGTTTGTCTGGTGTCACAGGGGGCTGGGTGTTTCTGGAAGACGTGGATACGTCTCTCTTCATCGGTTAGGGGTGGAGCTGACCTCTTGTACTGGAACGACCTCTGCCTCAGGAACTCCCTTCAGGAAGTGACATCACACTTATGTTTCATGGTGCTTTAAGACAGACCTATGGCACCTATAGCTCTCCGCTAGCGCCCATATTTATTTTCTGCTACTAATCTATATCACTGTCTTGTAGATGTATTTAGCATCTAGAAAGTTCTTTATTACTTTAATAGATTCTGAGATTATGTTGTGACTAATGTTAGTGTGTATGGTATTCAGTGAGGGAAAAAAGTATTTGATCCCCTGCTGATTTTGTACGTTTGCCCACTGACAAAGACATGATCAGTCTATAATTTTAATGGTAGGTTTATTTGAACAGTGAGAGACAGAATAACATCAAAAAAATCCAGAAAAATGCATGTCAAAATTTTTATAAATTGATTTGTATTTTAATGCGGGAAATAAGTATTTGACCCCTCTGCAAAACATGACTTAGTACTTGGTGATAAAACCCTTGTTGGCAATCACAGAGGTCAGACGTTTCTTGTAGTTGGCCACCAGGTTTGCACACATCTCAGGAGGGATTTTGTCCCACTCCTCTTTGCAGATCTTCTCCAACTCATTAAGGTTTCGAGGCTGATGTTTGGCAACTCGAACCTTCAGCTCCCTCCACAGATTTTCTATGGGATTAAGGTCTGGAGACTGGCTAGGCCACTCCAGGACCTTAATGTGCTTCTTCTTGAGCCACTCCTTTGTTGCCTTGGCCATGTGTTTTGGGTCATTGTCATGCTGGAATACCCATCCACGACCTATTTTTAATGCCCTGGCTGAGGGAAGGAGGTTCTCAGCCAAGATTTGACGGTACATGGCCCCGTCCATCGTCCCTTTGATGCGGTGAAGTTGTCCTGTCCCCTTAGCAGAAAAACACCCCCAAACCATAATGTTTCCACCTCCGTGTTTGACGGTGGGGATGGTGTTCTTGGGGTCATAGGCAGCATTCCTCCTCCTCCAAACACGCCGAATTGAGTTGATAGCAAAGAGCTCAATTTTGGTCTCATCTGACCACAACACTTTCACCCAGTTCTCCTCTGATTCATTCAGATGTTCATTGGCAAACTTCAGACGGGCATGTATATGTGCTTTCTTGAGCAGGGGGACCTTGCGGGCGCTGCAGGATTTCAGTCCTTCACAGCGTAGTGTGTTACCAATTGTTTTCTTGGTGACTATGGTCCCAGCTGCCTTGAGATCTTTGACAAGATCCTCCCGTGTAGTTCTGGGCTGATTCCTCACCGTTCTCATGATCATTGCAACTCCACGAGGTGAGATCTTGCATGGAGCCCCAGGCCGAGGAAGATTGACAGTCTTTTGTGTTTCTTCCATTTGCGAATAATCGCACCAACTGTTGTCACCTTCTCACCAAGCTGCTTGGCGATGGTCTTGTAGGTCTACAATCTTGTCCCTGACATCCTTGGAGAACTCTTTGGTCTTGGCCATGGTGGAGAGTTTGGAATCTGATTGATTGATTGCTTCTGTGGACAGGTGTCTTTTATACAGGTAACAAACTGAGATTAGGAGCACTCTCTTTAAGAGTGTGCTCCTAATCTCAGCTCGTTACCTGTATAAAAGAGGCCTGGGAGCCAGAAGTCTTTCTGATTGAGAGGGGGTCAAATACTTATTTCCCTCATTAAAATGCAAATCAATTTATATACATTTTTGACATGCGTTTTTCTGGATTTTTGTTGTTGTTATTCTGTCTCTCACTGTTCAAATAAACCTACCATTAAAATTATAGACTGATAATTTCTTTGTCAGTGGGCAAACGTACAAAATCAGCAGGGGATCAAATACTTTTTTCCCCTCACTGTACAAAGGTTGTGAGGTAACATACATGAACTGGTAATTGTAGAGTCAGGAGTGTTAGGGTTAGGTAAGGGTTAGAGTTAGGTAAGGGTTAGAGTTAGGTAAGGGTTAGAGTCAGGAGGGTTAGGTAACGGTTAGAGTCAGGAGTGTACACTACCGGTCAAAAGTTTTAGAACACCTACTCATTCAAGGGTGTTTCTTTATTTTTACTATTTTCTACATTGCAGAATAATAGTGAAGACATCAAAACTATGAAATAACACATATGGAATCATTCACATGCGGATGATCTCTGCATGTGTATTTCCCACCATAAAGCATGGAGGAGGTGGTGTTATGGTGTGGGGGTGCTTTGCTGGTGACACTGTCTGTGATTTACTTAGAATTCAAGGCACACTTAACCAGCATGGCTGCCACAGCAATACGCCATCCCATCTGGTTTGGGCTTAGTGGGACTATCATTGGTTTTTCAAGTGGACATTGACCTGTGTAAGGGCTATTTTACCAAGAAGGAGAGTGATGGAGTGTTGTATCAGATGACCTGGCCTCAACAATCCCCCGACCTCAACCAAATTGAGATGGTTTAGGATGAGTCGGACGGCAGAGTGAAGGAAAAGCAGCCAACAAGTGCTCAGCATATGTGGGAACTCCAAGACTGTTGGCAAAGCATTCCAGGTGAAGCTGGTTGAGAGAATGCCAAGTGTGTGCAAAGTTATCAAGGCAAAGGGTGGTTATTTGAAGAATCTCAAATATAAAATATATTTTGATTTGTTTAACACTTTTTTGGTTACTACATGATTCCATATGTGTTATTTCATAGTTTTGATGTCTTCACTATTATTCTACAATGTAGAAAACAGTACAAATAAAGAAAAACCCTTGAATGAGTAGGTGTTCTAAAACTTTTGACCGGTAGTGTACTTCCATACATTTTTTCAACTGGTACCGGGGAACATTCAGACGAGTCTTCTGAGGTTTGTGGGCGTCCTAGAACAAATCAACCGACATGTTCATGAGAGACTCACCTTTCCACAGAGGGGTCATATTAGTGTGCAGCCCAAACTGTTCAGACACTACAGACAGAAGTTGGCAGATCGGTTGTACCGACTTCAGACGGGTCCCAAGACGCTTGTAGGGGGTCGTGGAGCAAAACGGAGATCATGGTGTTCGTGAGAGTCTCATCTTTACAGTAGTTTGTAGCCCAAACCGTTCGGACGCTACAGACGTTTTCATGAGAAGACCGATTTCCGGGATGTGTCATGGACTAACAAACAGCGCTCTAGCTCTGCCACCTTTCACCGCAGATGAGGAAGTGTTATATAGGCGGATGCAGTGCATTGAGACGCATCCAATGCAAAAGCGGATTGTTTTTATTATGCTAATTAATTTTTGCGGGGCCTCGGAAATCAACTCTATGGGGTTAAAAGGTGCATAGCCAACAAAGGGCAATCCAATGTACATGAACTGTTACTTGTTGTGGTGAGGATGATTGTGGTAACGTACGTAAAGTGATACTTGTTGTAGTGTGAGGGTTGTCGTGGTAATGTATGTGAAGTGTTGCTTGTTGTAGTGAGGGTGGTCGTGGTAACTTACGTAAAGTGGTACTTGTTGTAGTGTGAGGGTTGTCGTGGTAATGTATGTGAAGTGTTGCTTGTTGTAGTGAGGGTGGTCGTGGTAACTTACGTAAAGTGGTACTTGTTGTAGTGTGAGGGTTGTCGGGGGATGGTGTTCTCATCCCAGCTCAGACTGTGGTCCGGGAACGGTCCCGGGGCGAAGGACATATGGCCCGACCTGGAGAGCTGCTGGGGTTGTTGCAGTACTGACAGTACCGGCATGGGCTGTAACACAATACATACACATTACCATACTAGAAGTACACACACATTATCATACTAGAAGTACACAGACATTATTACATTTACATTTACATTTTAGTCATTTAGCAGACGCTCTTATCCAGAGCGACTTACAGTTAGTGAATACATTTTTTTTTTTTTTTTTTATACTGGCCCCCCGTGGGAATCGAACCCACAACCCTGGCGTTGCAAACGCCATGCTCTATCAACATCCCTGCCGGCCATTCCCTCCCCTACCCTGGACGACGCTGGGCCAATTGTGCGCCGCCCATGAGTCTCCCGGTCGCGGCCGGCTGCGACAGAGCCTGGATTCGAACCAGGATCTCTAGTGACACAGTTAACACTGCGATGCAGTGTCTTAGACCACTGCGCCACTCATTATCATACTAGAAGTACACACACATTATCATACTATAAGTACACACACATTATCATACTATAAGTACACACACATTATCATACTATAAGTACACACACATTATCATACTATAAGTACACACACATTACCAGAGATGTTGGAAGGATTTTTCGATGGGGTAAAAACCTTTTCTAAACCCCATTCAGATCATAACACCTCTATCTACCGACATTTAGATCATAACACCTCTATCTACCGACATTCAGTAGGTTTCTGTAATTGGATGCTTCTCTTCTGTCATTAGTTGGGTTAGGGTTATGATGCTGTTGAATACTAAATAAGGCCTTGGTCACCAGAATGATGTCGCAGATCGATAGAATGATTATTACCATCAACAATCTATACTGAACACAAATAGAAACAGTTCCAGTTCATAGAAGGAAATCAGTCAACTGAAATACATTCATTAGGCCCTAGTCTATGGATTTCACATGACTGGGAATACAGATATGCATCTGGTCACAGATAACTTGTTTTAAAAGGTAGGGGCGTGGATCAGAAAACCAGTCAGTATCTGGTGTGACCACCATTTGCCTCATGCAGCGCGACAGATCTCCTTCGCATAGAGTTGATCAGGCTGTTGATTGTGGCCTGTGTTGTCCCACTCCTTTTCAATGGCTGTGAGAAGATGCTGGATATTGGCAGAAACTAGAACATGCTGTCGTACACGTCAATTCAATGGGTGACATGTCTGGTGAGTATGCAGGCCATGGAAGAACTGGGACATTTTCAGCTTCCAGGAATTGTGTACAGATCCTTGCGACCAGGTCAAGACCCTGGTGAGGACGACGAGCACTCAGATGAGCTTCCCTGAGATGGTTTCTGACTGTTTGTGCAGAAATTCTTCGGTTGTGCAAAACCCAGAGTTTCACCCACTGGCCGGGTGGCTGGTCTCAGACAATACCGACCCAGAGTTTCACCCACTGGCCGGGTGGCTGGTCTCAGACAATACCGACCCGAGTTTCACCCCCCCCCCCACCCTGGCCGGGAGGCTGTCTCAGACATACCGACCCAGAGTTTCACCCCACTGGCCGGGTGGCTGGTCTCAGACAATACCGACCCAGAGTTTCACCCACTGGCCGGGTGGCTGGTCTCAGACAATACCGACCCAGAGTTTCACCCACTGGCCGGGTGGCTGGTCTCAGACAATACCGACCCAGAGTTTCACCCACTGGCCGGGTGGTGGTCTCAGACAATACCGACCCAGAGTTTCACCACTGGCCGGGTGGCTGGTCTCAGACAATACCGACCCAGAGTTTCACCCACTGGCCGGGTGGCTGGTCTCAGACAATACCGACCAGAGTTTCACCCACTGGCCGGGTGGCTGGTCTCAGACAATACCGACCCAGAGTTTACCCACTGGCCGGGTGGCTGGTCTCAGACAATACCGACCCAGAGTTTCACCACTGGCCGGGTGGCTGGTCTCAGACAATACCGACCCAGAGTTTCACCCACTGGCCGGGTGGCTGGTCTCAGACAATACCGACCCAGAGTTTCACCCACTGGCCGGGTGGCTGGTCTCAGACAATACCGACCCAGAGTTTCACCCACTGGCCGGGTGGCTGGTCTCAGACAATACCGACCCAGAGTTTCACCCCACTGGCCGGGTGGCTGGTCTCAGACAATACCGACCCAGAGTTTCACCCACTGGCCGGGTGGCTGGTCTCAGACAATACCGACCCAGAGTTTCACCCACTGGCCGGGTGGCTGGTCTCAGACAATACCGACCCAGAGTTTCACCCACTGGCCGGGTGGCTGGTCTCAGACAATACCGACCCAGAGTTTCACCCACTGGCCGGGTGGCTGGTCTCAGACAATACCGACCCAGAGTTTCACCCACTGGCCGGGTGGCTGGTCTCAGACAATACCGACCCAGAGTTTTCACCCACCTGGCCGGGTGGCTGGTCTCAGACAATACCGACCCAGAGTTTCACCCACTGGCCGGGTGGCTGGTCTCAGACAATACCGACCCAGAGTTTCACCCACTGGCCGGGTGGCTGGTCTCAGACAATACCGACCCAGAGTTTCACCCACTGGCCGGGTGGCTGGTCTCAGACAATACCGACCCAGAGTTTCACCCACTGGCCGGGGTGGCTGGTCTCAGACAATACCGACCCAGAGTTTCACCCACTGGCCGGGGTGGCTGAGTCTCAGACAATACCGACCCAGAGTTTCACCCCACTGGCCGGGTGGCTTGGTCTCAGACAATACCGACCCAGAGTTTCACCCACTGGCCGGGTGGCTGGTCTCAGACAATACCGACCCAGAGTTTCACCCACTGGCCGGGTGGCTGGTCTCAGACAATACCGACCCAGAGGTTTCACCCACTGGCCGGGTGGCTGGTCTCAGACAATACCGACCCAGAGTTTCACCCACTGGCCGGGTGGATGGTCTCAGAACAATACCGACCAGTTCCCCACGGGGGCCGGGTGGCTGGACTCGACATACCGACCCAGATTTCACCCACTGGCCGGGTGGCTGGTCTCAGACAATACCGACCCAGAGTTTCACCCACTGGCCGGGTGGCTGGTCTCAGACAATACCGACCCAGAGTTTCACCCACTGCCGGGTGGTGGTCTCAGACAAATACCGGACCCACAGGTTTCACCATGGCCGGGTGGCGGTCTCAGACAATACCGACCCAGAGTTTCACCCACTGGCCGGGTGGCTGGTCTCAGACAATACCGACCCGAGGTTTCACCCCACTGGCGGGTGGATGGTCTCAGACAATACCGACCCAGAGTTTCACCCACTGGCCGGGTGGCTGGTTCAGACAATACCGACCCCAGAGTTTCACCCACTGGCGGGTGGCTGGTCTCAGACAATACCGACCCAGAGTTTCACCCACTGGCCGGGTGGCTGGTCTCAGACAATACCGACCCAGAGTTTCACCCACTGGACGGGTGGCTGGTCTCAGACAATACCGACCCAGAGTTTCACCCATGGCCGGGTGGCTGGTCTCAGGACAATACCGGACCCAGAGTTTCACCCACTGGCGGGTGGCTGGTCTCAGACAATACCCGACCCAGAGTTTCACCCATGGGCGGGTGGCTGGTCTCAGACAATACCGACCCAGAGTTTTCACCCACTGGCCGGGGTGGTGGTCTCAGACAATACCGACCCAGAGTTTCACCCACTGGCCGGGTGGCTGGTCTCAGACAATACCGACCCAGAGTTTCACCCACTGGCCGGGTGGCTGGTCTCAGACAATACCGACCCAGAGTTTCACCCACTGGCCGGGTGGCTGGTCTCAGACAATACCGACCCAGAGTTTCACCCACTGGCCGGGTGGCTGGTCTCAGACAATACCGACCCAGAGTTTCACCCACTGGCCGGGTGGCTGGTCTCAGACAATACCGACCCAGAGTTTCACCCACTGGCCGGGTGGCTGGTCTCAGACAATACCGACCCAGAGTTTCACCCACTGGCCGGGTGGCTGGTCTCAGACAATACCGACCCAGAGTTTCACCCACTGGCCGGGTGGCTGGTCTCAGACAATACCGACCCAGAGTTTCACCCACTGGCCGGGTGGCTGGTCTCAGACAATACCGACCCAGAGTTTCACCCACTGGCCGGGTGGCTGGTCTCAGACAATACCGACCCAGAGTTTCACCCACTGGCCGGGTGGCTGGTCTCAGACAATACCGACCCAGAGTTTCACCCACTGGCCGGGTGGCTGGTCTCAGACAATACCGACCCAGAGTTTCACCCACTGGCCGGGTGGCTGGTCTCAGACAATACCGACCCAGAGTTTCACCCACTGGCCGGGTGGCTGGTCTCAGACAATACCGACCCAGAGTTTTCACCCACTGGCCGGGTGGCTGGTCTCAGGACAATACCGACCCAGAGTTTCACCCACTGGCCGGGTGGCTGGTCTCAGACAATACCGACCCAGAGTTTCACCCACTGGCCGGGGTGGCTGGTCTCAGACAATACCGACCCAGAGTTTTCACCCACTGGCCGGGTGGCTGGTCTCAGACAATACCGACCCAGAGTTTCACCCACTGGCCGGGGTGGCTGGTCTCAGACAATACCGACCCAGAGTTTCACCCACTGGCCGGGTGGCTGGTCTCAGACAATACCGACCCAGAGTTTCACCCACTGGCCGGGGGTCACATACCGACCCAGAGTTTCTGGTCTCAGACAATACCGACCCAGAGTTTCACCCCACTGGCCGGGTGGCTGGTCTCAGACAATACCGACCCAGAGTTTCACCCACTGGCCGGGTGGCTGGTCTCAGACAATACCGACCCAGAGTTTCACCCACTGGCCGGGTGGCTGGTCTCAGACAATACCGACCCAGAGTTTCACCCACTGGCCGGGTGGCTGGTCTCAGACAATACCGACCCAGAGTTTCACCCACTGGCCGGGTGGCTGGTCTCAGACAATACCGACCCAGAGTTTCACCCACTGGCCGGGGTGGCTGGTCTCAGACAATACCGACCCAGAGTTTCACCCACTGGCCGGGTGGCTGGTCTCAGACAATACCGACCCAGAGTTTCACCCACTGGCCGGGTGGCTGGTCTCAGACAATACCGACCCAGAGTTTCACCCACTGGCCGGGTGGCTGGTCTCAGACAATACCGACCCAGAGTTTCACCCACTGGCCGGGTGGCTGGTCTCAGACAATACCGACCCAGAGTTTCACCCACTGGCCGGGTGGCTGGTCTCAGACAATACCGACCCAGAGTTTCACCCACTGGCGGGTGGCTGGTCTCAGACAATACCGACCCAGAGTTTCACCCACTGGCCGGGTGGCTGGTCTCAGACAATACCGACCCAGAGTTTCACCCACTGGCCGGGTGGCTGGTCTCAGACAATACCGACCCAGAGTTTCACCCACTGGCCGGGTGGCTGGTCTCAGACAATACCGACCCAGAGTTTCACCCACTGGCCGGGTGGCTGGTCTCAGACAATACCGACCCAGAGTTTCACCCACTGGCCGGGTGGCTGGTCTCAGACAATACCGACCCAGAGTTTCACCCACTGGCCGGGTGGCTGGTCTCAGACAATACCGACCCAGAGTTTCACCCACTGGCCGGGTGGCTGGTCTCAGACAATACCGACCCAGAGTTTCACCCACTGGCCGGGTGGCTGGTCTCAGACAATACCGACCCAGAGTTTCACCCACTGGCCGGGGTGGCTGGTCTCAGACAATACCGACCCAGAGTTTCACCCACTGGCCGGGTGGCTGGTCTCAGACAATACCGACCCAGAGTTTCACCCACTGGCCGGGTGGCTGGTCTCAGACAATACCGACCCAGAGTTTCACCCACTGGCCGGGTGGCTGGTCTCAGACAATACCGACCCAGAGTTTCACCCACTGGCCGGGTGGCTGGTCTCAGACAATACCGACCCAGAGTTTCACCCACTGGCCGGGTGGCTGGTCTCAGACAATACCGCAGGTGAAGAAGCCAGATGTGCAGGTCCCGGGCTGGCGTAGTTACACGTGGTCTGCGGTTGTGAGGTTATGGCTTATGGTAAAGAAATTAACATTCAATTCCCTGGCAACAGCTCTGGTGAACATTCCTGTAGTCAGCATGCCAATTGCACGCTTCCTCAAAACATATGTGGCATTGTGTTGTGTGACAAAACTACACATTTTAAAGTGGCCTTTTATTGTCCCCAGCACAAGGTGCACCTTTGTAATGTTCATGCTGTTTAATCAGCTTCTTGATATGCCACACCTGTCAGGTGGATGGATTATCTTGGCAAAGGAGAAATGCTGACTAACAGGGATGTAAACACAATTATGCTTATGGAACATTTCTGGGATCTTTTATTTCGGCCCATGAAACATGGGACCAACATTTTACATTTTGCATTTTTATATTTGTTCAGTGTAGTTGACATTGGTCAAGTTTTGTATTTCATTTCAGCTTCTCTAGCGGAGCGAGGACGGTTAGGGACCGGGGAGATAGCGGAGCGAGGACGGTTAGGGACCGGGGAGATAGAGGAGCGAGGGCGGTTAGGGACCGGGGAGATAGCGGAGCGAGGACGATTAGGGACCGGGGAGATAGCAGAGCGAGGATGGTTAGGGACCGGGGAGATAGCGGAGCGAGGGCGGTTAGGGACCGGGGAGATAGCGGAGCGAGGACGGTTAGGGACCGGGGAGATAGCGGAGCGAGGACGGTTAGGGACCGGGGAGATAGCGGAGCGAGGACGGTGAGGGACCGGGGAGATAGCGGAGCGAGGACGGTTAGGGACCGGGGAGATAGCGGAGCGAGGACGGTGAGGGACCGGGGAGATAGCGGAGCGAGGACGGTTAGGGACCGGGGAGATAGCGGAGCGAGGGCGGTTAGGGACCGGGGAGATAGCGGAGTGAGGACGGTTAGGACGGAGCGAGGACGGTCCAACAAGGCTCCTGTCCAACAAGGCTCCTGTCCAATAAGGCTCCTGTCCAACAAGGCTCCTGTCCAATAAGGCTCCTGTTCCCATCTGAACTTGAAACCAGGGGGTACGGCCGTCCCCCTACTTCTGCCATCTCTGACACACACGTTATCACACATCTCTGGCTCAAGGAGCAAGACAACACTTACTGTATTTCATAATAATAATAATAATATGCCATTTAGCAGACGCTTTTATCCAAAGCGACTTACAGTCATGCGTGCATACATTTTTGTGTATGGGTGGTCCCGGGGATCGAACCCACTACCTTGGCGTTACAAGCGCCGTGCTCTACCAGCTGAGCTACAGAGGACCACATGGGAAGAACATGATGCCATGTTCTGTAATTCCCCCTCAACATTACTTTTGGTTTTCTGTGATTGTCCATTAATGGGGGCAGGAGTGTTTCCTGAACAGGTAAATCTCCTGTCCCTACTCCTGTTCCCTACCTTGAGGGTGAGGCCAGGTTTCCTGAGGGAGTATTTCATTGGTTGATCCTTCAGCATGTCATGCAGCTTTCCTGGGTCGGCCCCGCCCATGTGGCAGCTGAACTGTGGGACTCGGCTGCAGGTTGGCGTGGAAGTATGTCGTTCGTCAGGCAGCACCTTCCTCAGCCAGCGAGAGTACTGAGACTGGGCTGTCTGCAGCTGCTCCTTCTGAAGACGCTCTCCTGGGGGAGGGAACACAGGAAGGAGCACATTATTAGGAATGTTTCACAACGCTGTGCCCTGCTGAACACTGTGCCCTACTGAACACTGTACCCTACTGAACACTGTACCCTACTGAACACTGTGCCCTACTGAACACTGTGCCCTACTGAACACTGTGCCCTACTGAACACTGTGCCCTACTGAACACTGTGCCCTACTGAACACTGTACCCTACTGAACACTGTACCCTACTGAACACTGTACCCTACTGAACACTGTGCCCTACTGAACACTGTACCCTACTGAACACTGTGCCCTACTGAACACTGTGCCCTACTGAACACTGTGCCCTACTGAACACTGTACCCTACTGAACACTGTACCCTACTGAACACTGTACCCTGCTGAACACTGTGCCCTGCTGAACACTGTGCCCTACTGAACACTGTGCCCTACTGAACACTGTACCCTACTGAACACTGTGCCCTACTGAACACTGTGCCCTACTGAACACTGTACCCTACTGAACACTGTAACTTACTGAACACTGTGCCCTACTGAACACTGTGCCCTACTGAACACTGTGCCCTACTGAACACTGTGCCCTACTGAACACTGTACCCTACTGAACACTGTAAACTAATGAACACTGTACCCTACTGAACACTGTGCCCTACTGAACACTGTGCCCTACTGAACACTGTACCCTACTGAACACTGTACCCTACTGAACACTGTGCCCTACTGAACACTGTAAACGATTGAACACTGTAAACGACTGAACACTGTACCCTACTGAACACTGTGCACCCTTACTGAACACTGTAAACCCCTATGAACACTGTACACCGTACTACTGAACACTGTGCCCTACTGAACACTGTTACGATTGAACACTGGCCTAAACTGATACACTGTACCTACTGAACACTGTACCCTACTGAACACTGTACCCTACTGAACACTGTGCCCTACTGAACACTGTAAACGACTGAACACTGTAAACGACTGAACACTGTACCCTACTGAACACTGTACCCTACTGAACACTGTACCCTACTGAACACTGTGCCCTACTGAACACTGAACCTGAACACTGTAAACACTGAACACTGCCCTACTGAACACTGTACCCTACTGAACACTGTGACTCTACTGAACACTGTGCCCTACTGAACACTGTGCCCTACTGAACACTGTCCCTACTGAACACTGTCCCTACTGAACACTGTGCCCTACTGAACACTGTAACTACTGAACACTGTCCCATGAACACTGTACCCTACTGAACACTGTACCCTACTGAACACTGTACCCTACTGAACACTGTGCCCTACTGAACACTGTAAACGATTGAACACTGTAAACGACTGAACACTGTAAACTACTGAACACTGTACCCTACTGAACACTGTACCCTACTGAACACTGTGCCCTACTGAACACTGTGACCTACTGAACACTGTAAACGACTGAACACTGTAAACGACTGAACACTGTGCCCTACTGAACACTGTGCCCTACTGAACACTGTAAACTACTGAACACTGTAAACTACTGAACACTGTAAACTACTGAACACTGTGCCCTACTGAACACTGTGCCTACTGAACACTGTAAACTAATGAACAATGTACCCTACTGAACACTGTAACTTACTGAACACTGTGCCCTACTGAACAATGTACCCTACTGAACGCTGTAACCTACTGAACACTGTACCCTACTGAACACTGTACCCTACTGAACGCTGTAACCTACTGAACGCTGTATCCTACTGAACGCAGTGCACTACTGAACACTGTACCCTACTGAACGCTGTAACCTACTGAACGCTGTATCCTACTGAACGCAGTGCACTACTGAACACTGTACCCTACTGAACGCTGTAACCTACTGAACGCTGTATCCTACTGAACGCAGTGCACTACTGAACGCTGTATCCTACTGAACGCAGTGCACTACTGAACACTGTACCCTACTACTACATGGCCCTGGTGTGGAGCGGTCCCTACAAGTGAGGTGGATGGTAACAGGTAGGACAGAGCTTAATACGGGTTCTGGTACCTGGTTGGTGTATAGGGGGGACAGAGACAGGGGGGACAGGACGGGTGGGGGTGTTAGTGTGCTGAAGGTGTGTTACCTGCCAGGTGTATAGTAACAGGGGGGACAGGGCTGAAGACGGGTGGGGGGTGTTAGTGTGCTGAAGGTGTGTTACCTGCCAGGTGTATAGTAACAGGGGGGACAGGGGGGGGTTCTGGTACCTGGTTGGTGTATAGGGGGGACAGAGGACAGGGGGGACAGGACGGGTGGGGGTGTTAGTGTGCTGAAGGTGTGTTACCTGCCAGGTGTATAGTAACAGGGGGGACAGGGCTGAAGACGGGTGGGGGTGTTAGTGTGCTGAAGGTGTGTTACCTGCCAGGTGTATAGTAACAGGGGGGACAGGGCTGAAGACGGGTGGGGGTGTTAGTGTGCTGAAGGTGTGTTACCTGCCAGGTGTATAGTAACAGGGGGGACAGGGCTGAAGACGGGTGGGGGTGTTATGTTGAGCTCCATGTCGTTGTTGCGGTGTAGCCAGGCTTGGATGTCTCTCTGAGGCAGTGTGGGTCTCAGGGTGTTGCCATGGAGCACATTCTCTCTCCAGGGCTAGTGGGGCAGAGACATTACACATCATATTAAACATGCCACACATAGCTGACTTCTGACGTTCCGCCGATAGGGTTGTATAAAAGCGTGATATTCTAGATGAAGCAATATACAGTTATATACAATACAATATATATTATGGTGATGTACAGCTATATACAGTACATCACCATAACCCTAACCCTATAGATATACATCACTAACCATAACCCTATAGAGATATACATCACTAACCATAACCCTACAGTATACTGTACATCACCATAACCCTAACCCTATAGATATACATCACTAACCATAACCCTATAGAGATATACATCACTAACCATAACCATAACCATATAGAGATATACATCACTAACCATAACCATAACCATATAGAGATATACATCACTAACCATAACCCTATAGAGATATACATCACTAACCATAACCCTATAGAGATATACATCACTAACCATAACCCTATAGAGATATACATCACTAACCATAACCCTATAGATATACATCACTAACCATAACCCTATAGATATACATCACTAACCATAACCATAACCCTATAGAGATATACATCACTAACCATAACCCTATAGATATACATCACTAACCATAACCATAACCCTATAGAGATATACATCACTAACCATAACCCTATAGAGATATACATCACTAACCATAACCATATAGAGATATACATCACTAACCATAACCCTATAGAGATATACATCACTAACCATAACCCTATAGAGATATACATCACTAACCATAACCCTATAGAGATATACATCACTAACCATAACCCTATAGAGATATACATCACTAACCATAACCCTATAGAGATATACATCACTAACCATAACCATAACCCTACAGAGATATACATTACTAACCATAACCCTATAGAGATATACATCACTAACCATAACCATAACCCTATAGAGATATACATCACTAACCATAACCATAACCATATAGAGATATACATCACTAACCATAACCCTATAGAGATATACATCACTAACCATAACCCTATAGAGATATACATCACTAACCATAACCCTATAGAGATATACATCACTAACCATAACCCTATAGAGATATACATCACTAACCCTAACCCTATAGAGATATACATCACTAACCATAACCATAACCATATAGAGATATACATCACTAACCATAACCCTATAGAGATATACATCACTAACCATAACCATATAGAGATATACATCACTAACCATAACCCTATAGAGATATACATCACTAACCATAACCCTATAGAGATATACATCACTAACCATAACCCTATAGAGATATACATCACTAACCATAACCCTATAGAGATATACATCACTAACCATAACCCTATAGAGATATACATCACTAACCATAACCCTATAGAGATATACATCACTAACCCTAACCCTATAGAGATATACATCACTAACCATAACCATAACCATATAGAGTATACATCACTAACCATAACCCTATAGAGAATACATCACTAACCATAACCATATAGAGATATACATCACTAACCATAACCCTATAGAGATATACATCACTAACCATAACCCTATAGAGATATACATCACTAACCATAACCCTATAGAGATATACATCACTAACCATAACCATAACCATATAGAGATATAATCACTAACCATAAACCCTATAGAGATATACATCACTAACCAAACATAACCCTACAGAGATATACATCACTAACCATAACCCTATAGAGATATACATCACTAACCATAACCCTATAGAGATAAATCACTAACCATAACCCTATAGAGATATACATCACTAACCATAACCCTATAGAGATATACATCACTAACCATAACCCTATAGAGATATACATCACTAACCATAACCCTATAGAGATATACATCACTAACCATAACCCTATAGAGATATACATCACTAACCATAACCATAACCCTATAGATATATACATCACTAACCATAACCATAACCCTATAGAGATATACATCACTAACCATAACCCTATAGAGATATACACTCACTAACCATAACCCTATAGAGATATACATCACTAACCAAACCATAACCCTATAGAGATATACATCACTAACCATAACCCTATAGAGATATACATCATAACCATAACCATAACCCTATAGATATATACATCACTAACCATAACCATAACCCTATAGAGATATACATCACTAACCATAACCCTATAGAGATATACATCACTAACCATAACCCTATAGAGATATACATCACTAACCATAACCATAACCCTATAGAGATATACATCACTAACCATAACCCTATAGAGATATACATCACTAACCATAACCCTATAGATATATACATCACTAACCATAACC